TTCCTCTTGGACCAGCTCCTGTGTTTCCTGGAGCGAATGAGGGTTAGTTGGGTGGACCTAATAACTATGTAAAACTTGACCTTCTAATGAGGTTTGAAAGTTCAAAGATAAGTAAATATTTTTTTTAGATAATAAAATTGAATTCAAATTTTCTGTTATTATTCATGAAGTAGTAATTTTTTGGGTGACAATAAAAAATCACAACCACTACTTGAAGGTATGCACCTTCCCTCATATGTACTAATATAACCCGTAAATCACACATGATATAAATCACATTAGAAAAACTCTTTAGGTGATGGACTCGAGGAAGACGATGCAAAATGTGTTTTCATCTTTATAAGTTGTAGCATTTAAGTAATAATTAGTTGGGAAAAGTGTCAAATTGGCCCCCTAAGTCAAGTGGATAGTGCAATTGGGTCCCCTAAGTGAAAAAATCTCCATTCAAGTCCCCTAAACTTGTAAAATTGTTCAATTAAGTCCAATATGACTTGTTTAACAGGTTAAATTGATATGGTGTTGACACGTGTCTTTCTTATTTTATTTTTAAAAATAAATACTTTTTATTTATTAAAAATATTATTTTTTTATTAATTAATTTAAAAAAATAATAATATTAAAAAAAAAAAAAAAAAACAGCTACCGGCTGTCCGCGCCGGACAGCCAGTGGTTGTCTTCTTCCTTCACGGACAGCCGTGGCCGCACGGCCGTCTAAGGAAGACGGCCAAACGTCAATGGCCGCCTTCCTTAGATGACCGTGAAGAAGGAAGATAGCCACTAGCTGTCCAGTGCAGACAGCCGGTGGCTGTTTTTTTTTTTTTTTTTATAAATTTTTTTTTAATTTTTTTTATAAATTTGTAATTATTATTATTATTTTAATTAATTAATTTATAATAAATAATATTTTTATTTTTTAATAAATAAAAAACATTTGTTTTAAAAAATAAAATAATAAGGACACGTGTCAACACCATCTCGATTTAACCTGATAAACAAGTCATATTAGACTTAATTGAACAATTTTACCGGTTTAGGGGACTTAAATGGAGCTTTTTTCACTTAGGGGACCCAATTGCACTATCCACTTGACTTAGGGGGGCAATTTGACACTTTTCCCTAATTAGTTTGGTAGTAATAGTTGACTCAGTGCCAAATGTATTGTCAATCTCTCACATTTAGAAGTGTAACGTATGTAATTATTACATTTATATTTAACGTACATGTTATTATAATTAGTTTTGGATGTAATCTTATTTAATAAATACTAAATTTTATTTGTCATTCTTGCAATTTTCCAACTCACATTGACCCACCTCGAAATTAGTGTACATTTTAAAATTTTGCATCACTTCACCCACTCTAACCCTACCTTGGAGTTAGTGTACATTTTAAAATTTTACATTATTTCTATTGAATGCGAATTCAAGCTATTTTTTCATCTTAATAAAAACTCAAATAATATAAAATGAATAAACAAATTAAAGTTGACAAATTGAAAATCCATTTGGCACTAAGTCAACTATTATATTACTACCAAACTACTTATACTACATATATGTTACAACTTATAAAGATAAAATCACATTTTGCATCGTAATCTTCCTTAAGTTCGTTACACAAAATTTTTATAATGCGATGTAAAATAACATTCTTAATATTTAATACGGAGTATTTAGTATGGTATAATCCAAATCACAGATATTCATTTAAATCCAGCTAACATGCATGGATCAATTTTTTGGGTAATTGTAAGTGGTGAATGGTGATATGTCAATTTTTTGAGTAATAATAAGTGGTAGATGGTGATAGATTTTAAAATTTATACATGTCACATATTTGAATTGTGTGTATATATACATAAACACAGACTATCCATATAAATTTTTGTCCGCCCAATGTTTTAACTATTAATTTTAATTTTAGACGAATGAAATTTATTTAAAATTTTGATAAATATTTATTTACCTTTAAAAATTTTGAACAATTAATAGTCATAGGACCAAAATTGAAATTTCCTCTAATAATTACAACTGCAATTGGCTCTTTTCTGGGCACGTTGATTACAACTGATGACAAGAATTTTGGGGGTTCTATGCGAACATATTACCGAGTTCGAGTAGCCATTGACATCACCAAGCCACTTAAAAAACAGATGAAGCTGAAGAAAGACAATGGAACGTGGGCGATTGTTGATTTCAGGTACGAGCGATTACCAACATTTTGTTTTCTTTGTGGGGTGATCGGACATGGGGATAGGGTCTGTCCAAGGATAGCACATGGGGCTGACGTGAATGCTCAGAAACCGTTTAATGCGGGGCTGCGAGCAGGTGCACGACGGACTGCTCCCCTGGCAGGCCAGCGCTGGGTAGCACCGGAGTTGGATGAGGACAGAAGGGGTTGGGTAGCTCCTGGAATGTTGGCAGGACAGCTGGAACAAACTGTGGTGGACGGTCCAGACTTGGCAGCTTCTGATGCAAAACGGAAGCGTGTTGAGGGGGATGGGCAGGCAGATGTGATCACAACTGATGCAATGGAAACTGAGAATACAGTGACAAAAAACGGTCGGGAGGCGGGTCTTGTGACGCAAGCCCGCCGAGGATTATGAGTCTAATGGCATGGAATTGCCGGGGGCTTGGCAACCAAACGGCAGTTCAGGTACTGGCGGACTTAGTTCGCACGAAGCGGCCAAATGTGATTTTTTTTATGGAGACGTTTGTGGATACTCAGAGGATGGAGGTTGTGCGGGTCCAATTGGGATATGACAATGTGTTCGTGGTAGATGCGGTTGGACATAGTGGGGGTCTTGCAATGATGTGGTTGAACTCGGTGGATCTCCAGGTAACGGCTTATTGTGATAATTACATTGATACTACTGTATGTTTAGATGTTGATAGCTCGGTGTGGCGTTATACGGGGTTTTACGGTTTTTCACAAAGAACAAGGAGACGGGAATCATGGCAATTATTGCGCTAGCTTGTAGGTTTGAGTACTATGCCCTGGGTTGTGATGGGAGATTATAATGATCTCATGAACCAAGCAGAAAAACGGGGGCGGGCCCACACCCCCCATGGTTGATTAATGGTTTCTGTGAAGCGGTTGCAGATTGTGGGTTACAGGATTTCCCGTTTGAGGGCTACCAGTTTACATGGAAAAGGCACAGGGGAACGAGTAATATGGTGGAGGAGAAGTTGGACAGGATACTAGTTTCGGATAGTTGGTTGTCTATATTTGAAGGGGCAACAGCTATGTCGATGGCTTGTCCGTACAGTGATCACATGCCGATACTACTAATACCAGTGGCTGTGGTTCAAACTACACGATGTAGGAGGTTTCTGTTTGACAATATGTGGCTACGGGAGAAGAGGTGTAGAGAGATTGTGGCTCAGAGTTGGGGCCGTACGGCGGGTCTTGAAGTGTTGGAACGGATTGAGTCTTGCGGAAGGGATTTATGGCGCTGGGGGAGGTCCTACAATAAGGACTTTCAGCGGCGTATTGATTTATGCAGGCGGGATATGGAGATTTTGAGGCCACGGGATGATGATGAAAGTCTAGTTGCATATTGTAATGTTGAACGGGAGATGCTATTTTTGCTGAATCAACAACACCTCTACTGGAAACAAAGGGCAAAGGAACATTGGTATAAGGATGGGGATTTAAATAGTAAGTTTTTTCACAACTCGGTGAAAACAAGGAAACTGCGGAATAGGATTATTAAGTTGAAGGATGATGATGGGAACTGGGTACGGACTAAGGATGAGATTGGCAATGTGATGCAAGAGTACTTCGGGAAGTTGTTTGAGTCTGAGCAGGGGGAGATGTCTGAAATCATTAATGCAATACAACCAAAAATTAGTGCCCAGCAGAATACCCGGTTATTGCGCCCTGTGAGCATGGATAAGGTGAGAAAGGCCGTTTTTCAAATGCATCCAGATAAGTCACCGGGACCAGATGGGTTGGGCCCGGGTTTTTTCCAGCATTACTGGGATATTGTAGGAGACTCAGTAACTGGTTTTTGTAGAGATTATTTCCAGAATACTGCTTTATCGGAGAAGGAAAACGATACGTATGTCGTCCTGATCCCAAAGAAACCAGTACCGGAGTCGATGAAGGACTTGCGCCCGATAGCACTTTGTAACGTAGTGTACAAGATAGCGACCAAGGTTTGTGCTAACCGGTTGAAACCATTACTGGAGGGGATTATATCGCATGCACAGAGTGCGTTTGTGCCGGGACGTTTAATCACTGATAACATAATGCTAGCATATGAAGCTCACCATTATCTCCGACGGAAGACACAGGGGAAGGAGGGGGTGGTAGCTTTAAAAGTTGACATGAGTAAAGCATATGATCGTGTCGAATGGGCTTTTCTTGAGGCGGTAATGCTGAAGATGGGTTTTGGAAGGAAATGGGTTGATATTCTGATGGAGTCTGTCCGAACAGTCAGGTATCACATTCTGTGTGAGCAGCGGCAGCTGGGGCCTATCTTGCCGGGGCGGGGGTTACGTCAGGGTGATCCATTATCACCTTATCTGTTCCTGGTGGTGGTGGAAGGGCTGAGTGTTATGATAGACAGATATATGAGTATCGACCGTTTGCATGGTATCCGAGTTGCCCGGGGAGCGCCACCGATATCTCATTTGCTTTTTGCGGATGATTGCTTCCTGTTTCTGCGGGCAAATGAGGATGAGACTGCATGTATGAGATATGTGCTGGACACCTATTCAAAAGCATCCGGACAGAAGATTAATTTTGAAAAATCCGTGGTATGCTTTTCCAGCAATGTTAAACCTGCCCACCAGTGTATGGTTACTCAGATGTTGGGGGTAATCAAAGGGGATGCAGCGGGGAAATATCTAGGGTTGCCGTCAATAGTGGGACGAAGGAAAAAACAGATATTGGGGTTTCTGAAGGACAGGATTCTGGCCAAGGTGAGAACATGGAATGCAAGGTTCTTATCGAAAGCTGGGAGGGAGGTGCTGCTTAAGAATGTCATTTAGGCAATGCCTAGCTATGCGATGATGGTTTTCTTGCTACCAAGGGGAACCTGTAAGGACATTGAGACATTGATGAATGAGTACTGGTGGACGGGAACTGTGGGGAGTGGAAAAGGCATATGGTGGAGATCTTGGCAGGGTTTAACAGCCCTGAAAGCAGTTGGGGGAATGGGTTTTCGTTCTTTGCATGAGACAAATTTGGCACTACTGGGGAAACAGGCGTGGAGGTTGGTCACAAGACCAAACTCAATAGTGGCCCGAGTTTACAAAGCACGGTATTATCCGAATAGCACCTACGATCAGGCGGTGGAAGGTAGCAACCCATCTTTCATTTGGAGGGGTTTGCTTGAGGTCCAGCGAGTGATTCGGGATGGGTGCAGGAGGAGTATTGGAGATGGCCACGATACGGTGATTGGTAAGCATGCATGGTTACCATGTGTGGATGAGCCTTTCGTCACTACACCAGTAGATGAGGAGACCTTTAACTCACCAGTGTCTTCTTTGTTTGATGCTCAAAATACAGGTTGGGATGTGCAACGGATGCGGAGTGTCTTTAACGCCCGGGATGCCAGCTTGATTCTGAACATACCAATTTCTGTGCAAAGGCCAAGGGATTCATGGTACTGGTATTAGGAAGAGAGGGGTGAATATTCTGTAAAGTCGTGTTACAGACGGTTGAAGGGTGAGATGTTGGATGCCCGGGCGTGGTCTCGGATTTGGAGCTTACAAGTACCGCCAAAGGTCAAACACTTTTGCTGGCAGTTGGCTTCTTCTTTTTTGCCTACTAATGATGCTTTACGGGCAAAGAATATTCACTGCGCTTTGATGTGTCATATGTGGAGGAGGGTCCCCGAGAGTGCTTATCATATGTTTGTGGAATGCAGCGCAATGGCACGTGTCTGGACTCTTGCGGGTGTGCCGACAGTGGGGGATGCTCATGGTAATGTAATTGATTGGTTTTTTGTTTTACTGTCTAGTTTGCATGGTGATCTAGTGGCAAAGTTTGCTATGATCTGTTGGGGTGTGTGGCAGAGCCATAATGAATCTGTCTGGAACAGTATTGCTTTTAATGTGGAATTGGTGGTTCACCGGGCACTCAGTTTCTGGTCTAGTTGGATGAGTGTGAATACCCACGGCCAGGCAGAACAAACAGCAGCAGGGGATGAAGGCTGGAAACGGCCTGAGGAGGGACGTATTAAACCTAACACGGATGCTTCTGTGTTACCGGACTCCAATTCTATGGGGTTGGGGTGGGTGCTGAGAGATCATTCAGGCTTATTTTTAGCTGCGAAGAATGTGTACTTGGAAGGGATATATACAGTAAATGAGGCAGAGACAATATGCTTGAGGGAGGCACTGAGCTGGTTGAAGGACACAGGTATGGGAAGTGTGGATGTGGAGATGGATTCACAGAATGTATTTTATTCTCTACAGGCAACTTCTTTTGATTCTACTTTCGGTTTTTTAGTAAATGATGTTAAAGAATTAGCATCTATGATAGATGATGTTAGATTCTGTTTTGTTAAACGATCTGCGAACTATGTCGCTCATACGATTGCTAGAGAGGCATGTTCTACTGCAGGTTGTGGAGAGTGGTTTGATGTCCCACCTCCTTTTCTTGTACCGCACCTATCACGTGATTTAATGCATTAATCTTTTCTTTTCAAAAAAAAAAAATTTATATTAGAGTTAATACCCAAAATAGTCCTCGACTATAGTGCTTTTCTCCAATTTCATCCTAAACGACTTTGGTGACCTAATGTAATACAAAATTTTGTGTTTTTGCTTAATGTAATTCTCCGTTGGTTATTCCGTCAAATTGATGTTAAATAGAGGGACAATTAAGTAATTTCATATTGATCTAGGCGCCCGTGTATTTTTATTTTTTTTTAAAAAAATTTGTGTACAATTTTTAAATTTTTTAAGATTTGATAATTATAAACTATAATACTTTAATAGGTAATACTAAAATATTAAATATTAAGTTATTAACTTAAAAAATATCTAGAGTTTGAACAATTTAGCTTATGGTTATTTCGCTAAAAGCGATGTCGTTTTGAGTGAAATAACTCATTTAAAAAAGAATGGAACAATTGCTAATTGATCGACGTACTAGGCAACCGAATCGGTGCCTAGAAGGCCTAGCCGGTCAGCTCCTAAACAACCTTGACGGTGCTTAGGTGGCCAGCCGCCTAGACCACTGATTATGGTAATACGCTAGGCGGCCGGCCAACACCTAACGCTTAAATGCCGATTAATCGGTGCCTATGTAAGATTTTTGCAACATTGTTCAAGTATGATAAATTTACATATACTTGCGGTATTGGTACTTGATGAATTCAATTTTATTATCTAAAAAATATGTATCTTATCTTTGAACATTAATTAGTCCAAACTTCAAACTTTACTAGAAGCTAAGGTAGAGTCTTATATAGGTGTTATGTGTACGTATTGTATAGTAGTTATCTATTGAGAATAATCAATACATAAATTATTAATAAACATAAACAATTATTCTTCCAAAAGGCTGAACCTTAACCCTAAGGGCCCCCCACACCCCGACTCGACAGAGCATTTGGGAGGATGTATATCATGGTAACTCAACTGAACATGAACCACAGAGGCTAGACCGTGCTCACTAAATATAAACAATTATATATATATACATAAAAGGGTTGCATTGCATTTAGATGGAAATTCAAATTGAAAGGGAAGCCCACAATTCAACCCAATATTAATGAGACTTCTAAGAAGGATGCCTGTGCGTAAATTATGCCGTGCTGCATCACGGTTGCAAAAATGACATCGTTTTGATTAAGAACAATGCTAAAAAAAAAATCAGTTTTGATTGTTGTTAAAGACTTTATGTTGTGCATAATTTGAACTATATATTCAGAATGAATAAATTATATATCCAGAATGAATGAACTATATAGTTCAAATTATGCACAACATAACGCCGTTAACGGCAATCGAAATTGAATTTTTTTTTAAAAAATTGGATGTTAAAACGACGTCGTTTGTGCAACCGTGTGCACCAGCAAAACGCTCCATGCGCGTGAGAGTTGGTTTTTCTTACTTGCGACCGACTAGAAATTTTATAAACCTTTATGAGTCGACTATGGGGGTTAAATTAGTATGTTTTAAAAACATTAAAAAAAAAAACAAAAAGAAAACAAAAAAACAAAAAAACAAAAACATCAAAAATTTTAAACTACTTTTAAATAAAATAAAATCTTTAAATTTGAAAATAAAACAAGCACGAAAGACGCACGAAAGAAAACAACATTATTTTATCACATAGATTAAAATAAATAACAATATAACAGAAGCAAAAAAGGGAATACCAAAACATAAAAATATTATAAAGAAATTACATGCAACCATTGAAGCACTAGACCGAACTCTTGCATTTCTTGAATTGCATGCATGATGCATGCCATTATCAACTTAACCTAGCTAGCTTCTTGTTCTCATGGCTTTCGGGCTTAGCTTTGGGAGGAGGAAAACTATTGTTTTATCCCCACCCAAGCACATAATACATTCCCTTTCGCAATCGTTTCATGGCTGCAACTGCAGCTTGCCCAGAACTTGCACGCTAGCTCCCCCAGTTTAAGTGCAAAGATTTGAGCTCTTAACTCTTTCAAGAGTTCCTCATACTTCACCCTCTTCTCTTCTGCCTTTGCTATCAACTTATCCTCCGGTCCTCCATTTTTGACTTCTTCTTCTTTCTCCTCCTTCACTTCAGATGATCTCTCCTTCCATGCCTTCACCTCAAGCATGTGTTTGTGGAGCGATTCTGCTAACGTTCCATAGCTCTGCAAATCCAAATCAGACAGAACTAGGATATCGTCCTTGGAATTAATGGAAGTCTTTATTATCATCTTCCCCTTATCGCTGTTGTCTTCCATCACTACCATCTTTCCCTTGCCCTTGTCGCCTTTGTTGTTGCCTTCACCGCCTCTTCCTGCGTTTGGGTTAACCATTTTTGCTGGGAATTGAATTCAAACAACTCCATCTTAGCTTTAGCTGCAACGCACGAAAGACGCACCAACAAAAACAACATTATTGTTTTATCATATAGAATAAAATAACAATATAATAGGGAAAATACTCCAAAATTAAAGAGACAAAATTCAATTCTAATAAAACTGACACTTCAAAAAGGTTTCAAAATGATAAAATAAAGTTGCCTTCAATATAATCCATAAAAGGAAATACCAAAATATTATACAAATATCCTAAACCCAATGAAGTCGATCACCCTTAAACATATGAGGAATTAAATCAAACTAATCTAATTTTGATACTCAATATGAAATTGTACACTTCTGTCATTATCACATTTGACAATATGACAAAGCAAAGTGTAATAAAAGACTTGAATTTTACTTTGTAATAAATGCAGTGTATTTTTTTTTTAATATATAGTGTTTTATTAGTTTGAGATTAATTCATTGCACATACCATGAAGTGAGTAGACATTTTAAAAAATTGCATCCGCTCTGGCAACTGTGAATATGATGAATTAATTTTTTATCTTAATAAATAATTCAATAAGTATAAAGTAAATACACATTAAAAATCAAAACCCATAATACAACTAATTAAGAGATCAAATTTCAACATTTTAAATAAGTAAGGGACCCATAATTTAAATTTTCATTAAATATTCATATTGAAAGTTGAAGCGCGAAAATTGTAAAAAGTGTAATGCCTAAACAGTTGAGAGTGCCAGTGTGTAAAAGTGACACACAAGCACCACGCTATGCCTGTATATAACTTTTGCCGAACATCAGTGTTAAGTGAACTTAAATTCTTCTTGAGCTTCTAGACAACTTCAAAACAGAATAGACTTGTTGAGATTTTTGCTTAATCGGTGTTTTGTAAGTTTCCCATTTCATTCAATATTGAAAAAGTCGTTGACTGCCTAAAAGTAAACAAAACAAACAAAACCAAATGTAAATGTGTTCATTTTATAATTTGGATACCATATAAAACTACAATTGTAGAGTTAATTAAGGAACCAAATATGTTTATTTTATAATTAAGGGATCAAATTTCAATATTTTAAATAATTAAGGGACAAAGAGTTTAATTTTCTCATTAAATATTCATATTGAAAGTTGAAGCACGGAAATCGTGAAAAGTGTACGTCTAAACGGTTGAGAGTGTCAGTGTGTAAAAGTGACACACAAGCACCACGCCATGCATGTATATAACTTTTGTCGAACATTAATGTTAAAGAAGAGCACATATGCAAGAAAGCAAGTGAACTTAATTTCTTCTTGAGGTTCTACACAACTCCAAAACAGAGATAATCTTGCTGGGATTTTTTGCTTAATCGGTGTTTTGTGAGTTTCCCCTTTCATTCAATATTGAACTTTTGCTAGATCTTGCTTTGATTTATCGCAGCATTGATTGTTCTTTGTTTCTCTTGGTGATCTATTACCCAGAATACCTTTTTTGTTAGATATATTTGATGGTTTTTGGGTTTTCGGGCCCAAGGAGGTCCAACACAACCTTAAGCTGGAGGATACACCTTTCACAAAAAGTCTAGATCTTTAGTGAAGTATGATGCTCAATAGTGCTTTCTATTTTCCTCTCCGGGTTCTCCCATCCGCCTCTTACAA